CGACTGGAGCTAGGTTGTGTACTACTCCTTATATGGTTGGAATAATTCAAAAAGGATAATACCCCGCCCAGAATTAATCCCAATGCTAGGGGTACACCATTTGGGGTACCCCATTTGTAACCCCCTCCATCTCCACCACATAAAGTAAGAGAGAGAAAAAAAATTAAAAATAAAAAAATAAATGAAAGGCTAGAATGCATGGTGTACAAATAAATTCCTCATCCCAATAATATCCTTTGCCACTTTAAAAGTGAGTGTTTTAAAACACTTCACATGTGGCCCAATGAGAATAAACACGTGAATATAACTTCCACATCATTTATCAACTCAAATTATTCTTTTCTATTCCAATTGGCCCCTCATCCTCAATTAAATTATTTTGCTTCCCTTCCACCGTTTCCATCAGTTCACGCCATCCGTTTACTTTTTTCCGATGGAACTATCCCGCTCTCCAAGTCGAGGCAGCATATTGTCTCTGTAGGAATCAGACGCCGCCTCTAGAAAAATTGGAAGACAAATCTCAAATAAGAGTATACAATTATATTCTTAAAAACATAATTGTAAAATTTAAATTTAATAAATGAAAAAAAAGTGAATTTTCCTAAAATAATAACACCTATCATTTATTTGTAAAAAATAAGCATTTTTCAAAAATTTCGTTAAATGACTATTAGCTTTAACGACGATCTAAAACCTACACACATGCAGAAAGATAGAATTATTTTCCGTGACGGTGAAAAATATGATTAGTTTTTGAAAAGAGTGAAAATGTAGGATTATTTAAAAATTGTATTAAGTTGTCACATTAAAAATAATATTATGTGATAGAGGCACCATTAAATAAAAAGGGCACATTAATCAAATGTAATGTAAAAAAATGTTATTTAAATTCTAGCAATGAAAATTTCAAATTTTGTTACGTAGAATTTTTATATAGTTATTAAAAGTTTAATTTTTTAAAATAAAATTATACTGCATAACAAATAAATAAAATTAAAAATAATTCTTATCAAATGTTGTAAATCATAAATGGTAGTTTATATGGGAACATGTGATCATTTATTAAGAATGATAAATAATGAAAGAAATAAATGACAAATAGCAACACAAATCTTAAAAAGAAAATTACGTTCAAAACAAAAAATAAAAACACATGGAAAGAAGAAAACGGAAGGCTGCGGCTGCATCGGATTTGCTGGAGATGGAGACGGTCCCAAAAAATAACGGAGATGATGGAACCGTCTGATGGAAACGGTGCAAGGAGAGCAAAATAATTTAATTGAGGATTAGAGCCAATTAGAATAAACAAGAATAGTTTGACTATTTAAACAATGTGGAAGTTATCTCCACATGTTTATATCTCATTGGACCACATGTGGAGTGTTTTAAAACACTCACTTTTAAAGTGGCACCATAATCATGGGTCGTGTTAGAGGTACACCAAAATTGTATATCTCATTTGTATGTCAGACAAATACAATTACTAAGAGCACTGGTAATGGTTATGAAGCCCCGGGGCTTCAAACCGGGGCTTCAAACTTTCTCTCTCTGCCACGTCAGCTTTAACTTACACCCAAAATTCACTGGAAATGGGTTTGAAGCCTCGGGGCTTCAAACCTTCATTTTTTACATTTTTAAATATACATCTTCTAAAATTAAATTAATAAAATGTAATTAATTTATTATTTAATTAAATTGAAACACGAATAATAAAAAATACATTCATTAAATAAAAAAAGCGTCAAAAATTTAAAAAAAGATACATTAATTAAAAAACTAAGATAAATTATATTTCTCCTTGATCTCTCTCATTCTTTGCTCATAGATCATTCGTCCAAACTCCGACAACGTCCCGGGGTCGGTTTGCATGACTTTTATCTCGGCCTCCTGCTCCTTTAGCTTCAACTCCTTCTCCTTTAGCTTCAACCTCTGTTGTTTCTATATTTACTTTTTTACTTTATTTCGGTCTCGTTTGACATCAGTATTAGAGATTACGGTTAGCGTTTTGAAAAGGTTATCTAACGGTAGTCTTTAGTGTTAGGGTTTTTCGAATTAATTTACTTCGTTAATATTTTATCCAAAACGCTAATGCTAAATTAAAACTATATTCCCAAACAAAGCCATCTTCTTCCTAATTTAGTTAGAAGTCTCTACGTATTCCCTAATATGGCCGCGTCGTCTTTTATCTCTCTCTTTCTCTTTAAAAAATTATGAGCGTGTCTAACATCCGTCATCTCTGGTCACTTTCTCTTTCTTCCAAAAAGAATTATGTGTGTGATCAAAGAACTCGAAAGCTGCATTTCTTTGTGTGTCTTCAACGATTGAAGAGAATGGAAGGCTAGAGTAGAGCAGCAAAAATAGTCCAAAAGGATAAAAAAAATTCTTAACCCTCGCTCCAATCGTCAAATCTTTGGCTAAACAAAGATAACTCAGCAATGCACTCGCAAGCTCGTTTATCATTCAATGAAGATTTGTCACTCTCCTTCTAGCCGACATTCTCACGAAAGCGCTTCCACCATCTCCCTTTCAATACTCGTGCTCCAAGTCACTTCTCGTTACCGATAATCAACTTGCACAGATAGTAAAATTATTATAAAATGTTATTATTAGTTTCCATATGATGTTGTTACAATATTTATTTTTCCTACTTTATTTCGTATTCCTATTTTAGTTCAATTCTTTATGCATTCTCTACATATAGAAGTGAAATTTTCATTATTTAACAAGATCAATTATTATCAAATTGTAAAAAAAATTCTTCGAAACCAAACATAAATTATTTTCCTCTTGATGGCAAGAAATATTTTCCCTAAAAAAATATTTTCTTACAACTTATATAATGTTACCAAGCATGAGGGAATATAATCAAAATTTCCTCCAACCAAACTATTCCTATTTTCTTCCAAATCTTTCATCATTGTTTTCTTTCATTCTTATTATAAAATTATCCAAAGAAGAGTAGATGGTTTCAAATAATTTAAAAATTTAATTATAAATTTATAAATGACTTGTGAAGTTTGTGTCATATTTTTATACGTGACTATAACGTTTGGGAAATTAACAAAAATAGAAGTAAAATGAGTTCTAAATGTCTAAAATAAAAGTATGATTTTTTCAAAACATAAATATAAGTTATTTTAAGTTAAGTAATAATTTTGATCTTATTTAATAATAACACTTTCACACTACTAATTGTCACCACTACACTACCACCGCTTTCAACACACTAGCACTACCTCCGCCACGCCGCACTGTCACCACCGTCACATTGTCAATGCATCTGCTCCTTTTGTCACACTACCACCATCTCCGCCACACTGCCACAACTCTGCCACTGTATCACACTACCACCGCCGCCTTTGTGACATTATCATCGTCTTCGCCACCACCACACTGCCAACTTTATCGCTACATTGACATCTGTGTTATGGTCACACTACTACCACTACCACCACCATAGTCACAGTGCAACCACCACCGCTGTCACAATGTCGCCTCCATTGCCACAATACTACCATTTCGTGACACTACCGCCATTCTTGTCACACTGCCACCAGTGCATCTATTTTGTCACCGCACTTCCACCATTATCGCACACTACAACCAATGATTACATATTACCACAACCACAACCACATGGCCACCGCCACACTATCACTGCTGCTCAACCACAACCACACTGTCACTGTCACACTACCATTAACACACTGCCACCATTGACACCAAATTGTCACCGCTACACTACTATCATTAACACCAAATTTCCACCCGCCTCTACAATGCCACCTTCATATCGTTACTATCATCACCGCCTCCACACCACAACCACACAACCACTGTCCCTACCTCAATACTAGCACTAACGCCACGATGTCACCCCCTGCCTCCACCTAGCAACAACCACACTACCACTACACTTATATCACCCCTGCCTCCACCTAGCAACAACCACACTACCACTACACTTATATCACCACATTATCACTGCAGTGCCTCTGTCATTGCCATATTACCACCATTATCATCACATTGTCACCGATTCACCGTCATCACCACTGCCAGTCTATTTGAACTCTCCCCAAGTATAATGGGAAATCCTCTTAGCTTCGCGATGTTGTTAGACCTGGAGCAAATCCAATTCCTTGAATTGCTCGGCTGCTAGGTGGATTGGCCCTGGATGTTGGGTTTTGAGGGGTAATTTTGACATATACAACAACAATAAAAATATTACCCCAATGCCTCAAAGGCTCCCGCTCATTGCAGGGTTAGGGGGTGGATGCATGCATGCAATCTAACCCTTATATTAAAACACAGAGCGGTACTTTCCAAGTGACCCACAATAAGCGTCAAAAGTTGCACACATGTTAAAACATAATTATGACATATAAAAGAATTAATTAATGGAACTTCTACATGTATTTTTGTGTCCATTTTTTATGATACCTTCTATGTCTGGGAAAGATCTTTCCAAATATCATTTTCCTTGTCCGGGAATGATTTTCTCATTTCTTTTTTTTAAAATATTTAAAATATCAGAATTACCCCAACTTACTTCAATTATAACCCTTCATTTACCTAATTTAATATTTCCTCCATTTCTATAAACAATTTCTATTTTGATGTGAGATAGATTTATTTTTATAGTTTGCCCTTATAATTATACATTTAATATTGAAGAAAGAAGAGAGACAAATTATTTAAATAAGTTATTATATCAATGAAAATGGAATGGAGCATAATACAATGACTTTATTTAAATGTAGTAGTCATTTTCAACAAAAATGGAAGTAGTTTGGGGAAAACAAAAAATGAAAGATGAGTTATTTTAAAAACAGAGATAGTATTTAATTGTTTATTTATTTTCATGAAGGATATTTTAATAAAGATCTCCTCCATATTTTTTAAATTCTTCTTTAAAAAACATAAAAATTCAATTCTAGAAGGAGTAGTAGTTTTTTCGCGAAAATAATAAGGTAAAACCGTAAAAGGTTGAATAAATAGGTTTCCTCCAAATCCGTATATAGTTGAATAGACTCGAATCCGCCCCCATCTCTTTCATGCCCTCCCAGCCGCGCCCCTCTCACCTCCATTGGAATTCCTAAAATCTTCCGGGCTCTGCTGTGCTCTAATGGACGCGCTTCAGTCGAATTACATGGATTCTCAATCTCAGCCTGAAGCTTCATCCGAAGCTCTTCCCCAACATTTATCCCAATCTCTCGTTTCGGACGATCAATCATCATCTCAGAACCATTCTGAATCGTGCCATGAAAACACCTCCCAAACCCTAGATCAGTCCCAATTGCACCCAGTCATCGCTTGTCCTCAGGAGGACAATCAGCCCGGAAAACCCCTAGATTCGGAACAGCCGGACATTCAGCTGGGCTCCGAGCAGAAGACGGACTATAATTCGGCCCAGGACCAAGATAAAAACCCGCCGGAGGATGGCGCCGAGAAGCTCGAGGTCCGGAAACACTTTCTGTCTGAGAACGGGGTGACAAACACTCACAGCGGCACGGACAAGGACCACTCTGGCGGGGAAGAGGAGACTACAAGCAGGAGACGGCGCAGGAGTAGGTGGGATCCCCCACCTGGCGAGTCTAGCAACGATGGAACCAGCGCTGGCGGTGATGGGAGTGGGACTGGAACTGGAAGAAAAAGGAAGTCAAGGTGGGCAGATGATGAGCCTAAACCACTGATTCAGCTACCGGATTTTATGAAGGATTTCACCGGAGGTATTGAATTTGATCCTGAAATTCAGGCTTTAAACAGTAGGTTAGTCGAGATCACTAGAAAATTGCAGTCTGGGTTGCCTTTAGATGATAGACCTGATGGTGCTCGCTCACCCTCGCCTGAACCCATCTATGATAACATGGGGATTAGAATAAACACTAGGGAGTACCGTGCAAGAGAGAAATTAAACAGGGAAAGACAAGAGATCATTTCACAGATGATAAAGAAAAATCCAGCTTTCAAGCCTCCTGCCGACTATAGACCACCAAAACTCCAGAAGAAGCTTTACATCCCTGTCAAGGAGTACCCTGGTTATAACTTCATTGGACTTATCATTGGACCAAGAGGGAATACTCAGAAAAGGATGGAAAAGGAGACGGGTGCAAAAATTGTGATCAGGGGGAAAGGTTCCATGAAAGAAGGCAGATTGCAGCAGAAAAGAGATATGAAACCCGATCCTTCTGAAAACGAGGATCTTCACGTGTTGGTGGAAGCTGATACCCAAGAATCACTTGAGGCTGCTGCAGAAATGGTGCAAAAGCTCTTGCAGCCTGTTGATGAAGTCCTTAATGAACATAAGAGGCAACAACTCAGAGAACTTGCTGCATTGAATGGAACTATTAGGGACGAAGAATATTGTCGGTTATGTGGTGAACCTGGCCATAGGCAATACGCTTGTCCCTCTCGCACTTCCACCTTTAAGAGTGATGTTATGTGTAAAATATGTGGCGATGGGGGGCATCCCACTCTTGATTGTCCAATGAAATCTACAACAGGCAAGAAAATGGATGATGAGTATCAAAGCTTCTTAGCAGAGTTGGGGGGAACCATGCCTGAGTCTTCAACTAAGCCCATCACTGGAACACTTGCTCTTGGTAATGGTGGTAGTTCAGGTGGGAATCCTCCTTGGGCGACTAGTATCAGCACTGGTGCTGTGGTTCCCAGCTCAGCACATCCGGGTTTAGGGTCAACAGCGGTCAAGCTTAAGGAGTATGATGAAACGAACTTGTATATTGGTTACCTTCCTCCTACACTAGATGATGATGTCCTCATCAACATGTTCTCTCCTTTTGGCACTATTGTGATGGCTAAGGTTATTAAGGACCGTGTTACTGGTCAGTCTAAGGGTTATGGTTTTGTCAAGTATGAAGATGTTCAACAGGCTAATAATGCAATTTCTAGTATGAATGGTCACCATCTTGACGGTAGAACTATTGCTGTGAGAGTTGCTGGCAAGCCACCTCAGCCGACTGTACCTCCGGGGCCCCCTGCTCCTCCCATGCCTACATACCCTCCCCCCAATCAACCGATTGGAGCATACCCTTCGCAGCAATATGCAACCGGTGGGGCAATGGGGAACACTCCAGTTCCGTGGGGACCACCTCCTCCTTATGCCCACTACCAACTTCCTCCCCCGCCCCCCGGTTCAGCCATGTATACTCCAGTTCATGCTTCTCCTTACGGAATGCAATACCCTCCTCCTTTACCTACTGGTGCAACTACTTCAGGGGCCTCCACCCAAATGGTTCATTCTAGTGAAGCACAACAAAATTACAGCAGTAGTTACCCCCCTGGGGTTCAATCTCAGAGTAGTGCACCTACTCAGTCTGTTGCCACATATGTTGCTCCAATGCCATCAAATGCTCAAGCTACATATCCAGCATTATACAGCTATCCATCTTATTATGGTGTTGCACCACCACAACCGCCGCCGCCTGCACCAGTTCCTTGGGCGCCAAACCCTCCACCACCTGCTCCTTTGCCAACTGGAGACAAGGCATCCTATGGTGCAGATGCTGAGTATGAAAAATTTATGACGGAGATGAAATAAGTTGTGACTACCTTTGCAAGGTAAATTGGTATTCTGACTGCTTCATTTTTAATGTAGTTTTTTGTCATTGATTGTGTAGTTGTGTCTTTTTTTGTTTACTTTTTACTCCGCAACTGTTCTAAGTGTGGTGCAATGTGCAAATGCTTTTCTGACCATTTGTATTGGTATATTTTTGCAAATTACTAAATCATGAAGAGTTCTGTATTTGTGACAGTTGACAATCAACGAATTAATTTGTCTAAATTCAGAAATGAATTGCCCATGCACATGATTCACATGGTCAAACATAATTAACTTTGTTTGCTTATTTTCTCTACACATTTCATAATAGAAAAAAGCCATGTCACATCTTTTTTTATAGAACTTTTTATGTAGTTTTTAAATATATAAATTTATTTTTGACTTTTACACATATAATCATATAAATTGAATGGAAAATAACTTTAGTCAAACCTC